AAGGCAAACAACCAAGGCACACGAGACCAAGAAATATATATATAATTTTTATTTATTTATTTATTTTTTAACGATTTTTTCAAACAAAATAAAAACAAGAGAAATGAAAAATAACAAATCAAGAGAAACACTAAAATTACACAAATATCACAACAACAAGAGAAATACGGAAAATAAGATAAACACCAAAACCGAATATCCTACTTGCCTTCTCCGTCAACGGCGCCAAATTTGTTGTAGCAAATTATTTTTATTTTACCGAGCACTGCATCGAATGATTCGTTTCCCGGGTCGATCTCTCGAGGAAGGCGGTTCGGAATTTAGAAGTGGTATCGGTAACACATAAAAGAAAAATAAATCCTAAATATTCTAATCATGATAGGGTTGGAGATTTATGAACTAAGAAATAACATAAAACGATAATCTACCTCAAAATATAAACGACAAAAAGATAAACGAGCTAGGGTATCGGGAATAATCACTTTCGGTTCTACACACATTTAACGGCAATCAATAACTCGGTTAAAAGGCTCGACTAATTAACTCATTTAGCGGTTTAACCTCAATACATCTCCGAACATGCTGATAAACATAAATGAGCGAATTAACGAAACAATTAACACATAGACAATACGTCTCCGGACATGTCTACTCTAAACGAGCCAAATTCCACCAATTTCTCCCCTCTCGGTTTTGAAATCGATTATCTCTACGACTCCTCCCCTTTCAGTTATAAAAGTCGCAATTCATAGAATTAAAAAACTCTAACTCAACATATCGAATTGTCACTCTTCGATTATATCAACAAATTAACCTAAGTGTCACTCTTAGGTTATAAAAATTTATCAAGTATGATTTTATCAATTCATAATTAAAAACTCTTCGATTATATCAACAAATTAACCTAAGTGTCACTCTTAGGTTATAAAAATTTATCAAGTATGATTTTATCAATTCATAATTAAAACAACTCGTCAAGATTGAGCTATCGTCATGCACATAAACAAGAACAAACTGGAATGATTATCCCTTAACCCTAGCTAGAGAATTAGTTACTCATGATGAAATTAACCACAACAAAAGATTTAATACAAGCTTTCATGTTCATAATCAAATGAAGAAAACTTACTATTAATCCAAGTCGAGAATCGAAATTAACTTACAAGCCAAATGGAATTCTTGTATTCTCCAAATATTATACAAATAAAACCAAGAAAAGGAACTAAAAATGAAGAAGAAGAAAAGAAAGAAGAAGAAAAGAGAGGAAGAAGAAGTGGGGAGAACCCCCTTCTATGGATTTGTCCTCCAAGTCTTGCACTTCTCCCCTATTTATACTACTTCATATCCAACATCCACGCATAGTTTAAGGCATTATCATCACAAAACAAGGGGTAAAATGCTCCACAATCCCGACCATAGTAAAAGTACCCTCAAAATAGGCCATAATGCCTTAATTTGGGCAAGTAGTGGAGGGCACCAGGCCCTAGCGCCGCTAAGGGGGGCCATAGCGCCGCTAGGGGGTACCTAGCGCCCGCTAGAGGGGCCTTAGCGCCGCTAGGTAGGGCTGGGCTTCATGACTTTGCGTTTCGGGCTCGTTTCGGCTCGTCCGAACTCAGAATTGAGTTCCGTTTTTTCCTATGCGTCGCTAACGAACCCCTCTATTCAATGATGCTTGAATGGCCAAATTATTTTTGAAATCCAATTCTCTCAAAGCTTATGACCAGCACACCAAAGACGTGCTTCGTGCGACTTCGCGTTTTAAGCCCGTTCGGACTCGTCCAAGCTCAAAATTGAGCTCCGCTTCTTCGTATATGTCGCCAACGAACCCATCTACACAAACATGATGCCCGCTCAAATTTCGGGCTAAATCCATTCCTCATGGGGCTTTCGACCTGCACACCAAAAACAAGAAGAAAAACGTAGAAAACCGACAAAATATACGAAAAAGCCAAAATAGAGCAAAACACATAATAAACTATAAAACGAACTAAAAACCAACTAAAAGACATAAAACGGAGGAAAAAGAAGAACAAAATAACAACGAAAAACGTAACAAAAATGGTCACAACAGATAGCCTTAATTCTGGTCCATTGGATTTATGTTGACAAATTTAAGCCGTTAGATCAATAATATAAATGAATTCGATAGATTTAATTTCATTTGAACTGGGCCGGATATTTGGGCTCTATATCTTACTCATAATATTCTTATATTGGGGGCTATATATTGGATTCAACAGTTATAATAAAATGGTTTGCTTTGTTCCCCCTCTAAGCCCGTGTGGGCTTGTTTCGCATAAGCTACACAAGCCTTTCGGTGCGGTTCAGTGAACACCAAGCCAATCTCAAAAAAGTTTGGAAAGACGAAAGGACACCTGTTTTATACTGTAAATTATATCACATGTTAACTCCACTTATTTAATTTATAATTATTACTTAATATTGTTTACTCACTCATTAATTTATAATTATTATTTAATTTATACAGTTCACCTGTGCATCGCACGGGGTACATACTAGTAGGTATATTTAATTAGATTAATTAAATCAATTTAATAATTATAAGATTAGGGTTAAATTTTTTTATTGATTTAGGATTAAATGAAAAAAAAATCACTCAAGCTTAATTAATTAAGTCGAGCTAAACCTTTAAATGAAAATCGAGCTATGCTTATAATAAAAGAATGGGACGCTACAGGTACATAATATTAATTATTTTAACTAATGATCAAATTTTAAAACATAATACTATTATCTAATTAATAATTTTATTATTATATGCATAAATATAACTTACATAATACTCCATGTTTAAAATTTAATGCTATTATCAAACTTATAATTTTGATAGTATATATATAAATATTTTATAATACTTTATTTATAACTGTGCAAATGCACGTGATCTTAAAAATTGACAAACAGGGTTGGACCATTTGTTTATGGATTCAATTAGTTTTTATTTGGTTTTTTTGAACTATAGTTAATTTTGAAAAAATGTGGTATGGTTAATTGTTAGTGGATATATTAAAATAATATTTAAAGAAAATAATTAAAGTTGATTTAATTTAAAGTAGAAGAAAAATGATTGGAAGTGATATCTAGTTAAAATTATGTGAGTGAATGAATAATGAATTAAAGTTGATGTGATGTATAAGTTGATATTATTTAATTATATTGATAATTTTAGTGATTATGATGTTGAGTTAAACAATAAACTTATGATGTGCATCTCGCTTTTATTACATGTTTATTATGCACCTTTGAACAGTTGCTAGCGACGCCATGTGTTAAACAATTATTTAATGTACATCTCTCTTCAATACTAGACTATGTTTATGTCCCTTTGAACAATTGCTAGCCACATATATTTATGTGAACGATTATTAGTCTCGCATCACATATATGCCAACAATTGAAAGTCTCGGACCACATGTTCTCAGCAGTCGTATTGTGTAGTTATTTTTCAATTAATTGTCTGAGCGGTTTGTAAAAAAATATTTGATAAAATTAGATAATTTTAATTAGCGACTAACATGTACAATTATTTATAGGAATATTAATACACTTTATCATTTTTATTTATGTTGAACTTAAAATTATTTAAAAAATAAAATTAACAAATATTTTAAATATTTATTAAAATAATTTAAATAATAATAAAAATATAAATAATAATAAGTTAAAAATATTTCTTAATCGAGTAAATAAGTTCATGTCATATAAACAAAGCCTTACAATTATTAAAAATATTTCTTAATCGAATAAATAAGTTCATGTCATATAAGCAAAACGCTTCAAAACACATCGTTTGCATTTTTGGCATTTGGTTCTCATCAGCTAATCTCAAAAGTTCTTTTACCAGACAACAAAAACACCAATTTTAACTTTTTTCATTCCATAAAAAATGCTAAAACAATGTTTTGGGAAAAAAGTTGAAAGACAAACGGTGTCATTGTCTGGTTTTACAAATGCTACGTCTTTGAATAAACTGCCTAACCATTAGGCAATTACATTTCTCTCGCCAATTTACAAACTTTTACTCAAAGGTATCACTTTAAAAATCAGTAAAAACATAAATATAACATTTGATAGTATAAACATGCATTTTAGTTCAAATAGTCTGACGTGTCGATCAACTTAATCGTTAGGTTGCCTCACACAAAAATTTATGTTTTATAAATATTATTATAATTAAACATCAATTATTTTTAATAATCATATTTGTATCCTATTTTTCATGCCTATTATTCATTTTTATTTCTTCACTAACAATCATTTTTACATGAATCTCTCTCTCTCATCATCATCATATATGTTATTGTTTGTGGGTCCTCGGATGGCAAAATTAATATTTTCATTTCCTTTTGATCCTTTATCAGTTTTCCCCTCGCATGACTGCAAAAATAATAATTACTACCACGAAAATAACAGCAATAATAATATTATAATATTAACAATAAATAAATAAATAAATAAACAGAAACAGCCTTCTTCTACCATTATAAATAAGAGTCACGAGACGACATCTTGCAAATACACAAACACACACGCTCACTTGAAGCCATGGAAAACAAACTAAGCCTTTGCCTCCAAATTTTGTCTTTATTCCTACAACTCATCTTCACTTTTGCCACCAAAACCTTCCGAAAATTCCTAAGACCGTTAAAATTATTACAGAAACACACACCTCCTCTTCCTCTTCCTCTTCCTCCCGGCCCAACGGGCTGGCCCATCATCGGCTCACTGCCCGAAATGACAAAAAACCGTCCTTCTTTTCGGTGGATACACAAACAAATGCAAGAAAACAACACAGAAATTGCATCCATTCGTCTCGGCAAAACCCACGTCATCCCCGTAGCCTCTCCTGAGCTCGCTCAAGAGTTTTTACGCAAACACGACCAAACTTTCGCGTCAAGGCCTTTTTGCATGACCGCTAAACTACCAGCGACAACTACCTGACGGCCATCCTTTCTCCCGCCGGCCATCAGTGGAAAAAGATGCGAAAAATCGTCAGCTCCGAAATCCTTTCGCCTTCCTTGCACCGATTTCTCCACAAGAAAAGACTACAAGAAGACGATCATCTCGTGAGATATGTTTACAATCACGGGCTTGTGAATATTAGGGCTGTGGCCCAACACTACTGTGCCAACGTGATTCGGAGAATGGTTTTTGGTAAGAGATTTTTCGGGCTCGGGATGGAGGACGGGGGCCCGGGAAAAGAGGAAATCGAGCATGTTGAGGCAGTGTTTAGTGTTCTGAAATATTTGTATGGGTTTGCAATCGCGGATTACGTGCCATGGTTGGAGGTGTTTGATTTGATGGTTACAAGAAGTTGATTAGCAATGCGATTCACAGAGTGAGAAAGTATCAAGATCCTGAGATTATGAAGAGAGTGGATATGTGGCGAGAAGGGATTAAGAAGACGGAGGAGGATATTCTTGATGTCTTGATTAATCTCAAGGACTCGGAAAACAATCCCATATTGTCCGTTCAAGAGATAAAGCCCAAATTATTGTAAGTTGATTTATTATTAACTATAAAATTATTAACCGTTTTCTCAACTTATGATTTTTTTTTTTTTTTTTTTTTTNAATGAAGGACACAAATTAGTCGATTATCATCCTTAAACGTGTCACCTTGGACGCCCATGTGTATATGTTTGTGTCCGAAATATTTATCAAATGGGCAAAGCAATAATTTGCCAAAGTTATAATTCAGGCATAATTTCATTTTTAACCCACTACATTGGTCATTTTTCAGCAAAGGTCTAATTTTTTGGCAGACATCAAACTTAGTACATTAATTTGAAAAATTCATCAAATAGGGTACACTAGTCATTAGTGACAGGATAAAATTTGTCGTTTCCTTTATGGTCTAATTCGAAAGTTGTTTGAAGTCCGTTTCATATGGGTAACCTACCGTTGGATTCTTCTCGTCGAGACGGTCGTAATTGTAAACTTTTAACCCAATTTTAGTTCGTTTGTACACTCAATTTTCCATCTAAAATAATTTGAGTTATCTTTTATCCGATTAAATTACGACGTCATTATAGCATTCAGTTTAGTGTACCTTATTTGATGATTTTTTTAAATTAATGTACTAAGTTTGATGTCTGACAAAACATTGGACCTTTGTTGAAAAATGACCAATATAATGGACTAAAAATGAAATTTTGCCTTATAATTCACTTTATGAGTCACTGGGTGTGCATTGGCAGGAAATAATGATAGCTGCAGTTGATAATCCGTCAAATGCAGTGGAGTGGGCTATTGCAGAGTTTATTAATCAACCACGTATACTCGACAAGGTGCACGAAGAATTGGATCGGGTTGTGGGTAGGGATAGATTAGTCCAAGAATCCGATCTACCGAGACTAAACTATATAAAGTCTTGCATAAAAGAGTCATTTCGTTGCACCCAATGGCCCCTTTCAATCCACCACACGTCTCGAGTAAGGATGTTACAGTTGGCGGCTATTTCATCCCTAAAGGGAGCCAAATTATGTTGAGCTGGATCGGTTTAGGACGCAACCCTAGGGTTTGGAACGACCCTCTCAAATATAAACCCGAGCGCCATATCATGAATGGACGAGAGAAAGAAGTTGTGCTAGTGGATAACGAACTTAACATATTGTCATTCAGTACTGGAAGACGTGGATGCCCGGCAGTCGTGCTTGGGTCTACCATGTCAACAATGCTTTTAGCTCGACTTCTTCAGGGTTTCAATTTCATGACGCCACTTGATGGGGTGAAAGTCGACCTGGTCGAGTCAGAAGGAGACTTGCAGTTGGCTAAGCCATTAATTGCGCGTGCTGAACCTCGGTTAGAACCACACATTTACTTGGGGATCGTTTGAAATTAGAATCATCTGTATGCATATTTGTAGAAATAAAAAGGACAGAAGAAATAACTATTTTCACCCCGTTCTGAAGACGGAATAAGAATTTCACAACGCCAAATAATAAGTTAATTTTTTCAACCCATAAGTGAGAAACAAATTATACGATAAACTATGTAACAGACAGCAAAAATAATTGATAAAGTGCGGAACAATTATGCGATAATCTATGCGACACACCAAAGACAATTGATAAAATGTGAAATAATTATTAGATAAACTATGCGAAAAACAGGGGAATATATTTGATAAAGTGCGAAATGGTTATGCGATAAACTAGGCAACAAACATGTGTTTGTAGTGTTTGTGCTAGGGCTGACAATTTTTTTACCAAAAACTGAAAACCAAACTGAACAGAGCCGACTCGTTTGTAATGGTAATCAAATATAGGTTACCGCGCACATTGATATCGGGTCAGCATCAGTTCCAAACTAGACCACGATGTGCCAGCATTCTTCTCGTGCGAGCCGCTGCGTCCTGGTGCTTTTTGAAAAGAACCATGTGTTGTTCCCGCGTGCGACTCGAGCGTGACCCACGAGTCTTTCGCGCAACCCACGAGCTTTGTGCGCAGCGTTCCAATGTCCCTCGCGACCAATCTCGGTGACCAGTGCCTGAGACTGTGCAACCAAAGCCACCAGAGCAGCTGACCCGCGATGTCTCGACAAAAGCACAACCTGACCGTGCCACCAGCGCACCAATCCGTGTCGTCTCGGGAACTAGGCCACCAACGGACCCCAGACGAGCTGTCCATGGACCAGACAAGCCGTGGAAAGTCTAGACCACTTCCAGAAGCTCGAGAGCAGTCCAATAGCAGTACAAAAATCTCGAGGCCAGTCTAGCAGCCCAACTGACTCTGAGTATCAGATGATCTGCAATACCGGAAATTGAAAACGTCTCAGAGTATGGAAAAATCTTAAACCGTAAGTCTTGATCCTAACTATAGATTCCGTTGTGTTAGGATTTATTTTTAGTAGATTCAAATGTGTACAACATGACTCATAGAACCTAACATGTCATTCAAGTCGGGATAGGTCTAAGGGTAAAAGCGTAATATCATCCAAAGTCAAGCTTTCAGTATATAACACTAACAAATTCGACCTAGACGAGTAAATGATAGGATGATGAAGGTGATTATATGTTGACTGGAGTTGGGAGGAAGTTGATTCAAAGGCAAACCAAATATCCCACACAGGTTGAGCAATGCAAGACAGAGCGGAAAGCGAAGACCTGGCTAGAATTGACATTGGAAGAAGGTGTAGCAACCCTTAGAAGGTCGATCATAGGTGTCATTGGCGTTGGGATATAGAGTGCGCAGCCAGAGGGATGGCCGACTTCGTCGAGATCCAGCCAGCAAACTAGTCGAGAGCTAGAGCGGGAGCGTGAAGAATTGGTTCGAGGAAGAGAAGAGAGATGGTTAGTAGAAGGACCGGCTTCTACGGTCGAAGTAGGTAAGGGATTGGCTGAAGCTAAAGGATTGGTTGAAGCTAAGGGATTAAGATGAAGGACCTCGTGGTCCTCCTCCTATGCTACCTCGAGTTCGTCGTATAGATCAAGTGGTCGACAAGAACGACGAGGGGGTGGAAGGTCGCCAGGGATATCTTCATCTGACTCATCAATCAGATGGAGAGGTTGGCGGGGAAAGGAAGCATTAGGGGATCGAGGTCATATGGTCTTGATGAGCTTAAACCCGAATTTCAGGTCGGATAACGAAAATTGGTATAGATTGAAGAATCTCTTGAACTAAAGTGGTCGGAGAGTAAGGCAATGGTCGAGAAGTCGAGGAAGAGGACGAAGGTGTCATATTCATGCCGGAAAAGTGATTGTTCTCACTGGAAGTGTAAGAGTCTGGAAAAAAAAGAGATCAAAAAATAAATATAAAAGAGCAATTTTAGGGTTTGTTGAGGGCAAAGAAGAGGATGAAGAAGAAGAGGTCTAGCCCAGATATCTTAAGGTTGTCGCCGACAAATCAGAGGGGAAGTAGAAAAAGCAAAAATCAAGTAATCCATATAAAAAACACAAATTAAAAGATCAAAATACTTACTCATTCTCGGAGTATTGATGAAGATTAGCCGAAGAACTGGCAAAGTTTGGTCAGACGCAGCGGAGTGGTGATGAACTCAGGAAAAACGATCGAAAGCACGAGAACAAGACCACAAATATAGCTAGAGCAAAATTTGCAAAGGTGGAAAACTGAAAAATATTGATTTAAGGGGTATTTATAAGCAGTGGAGAGGGCTAGTGGAAAGGTCAGTTGATCGAGGATCGTCCGATCAAAGCAGGTGTGAAGGGTGTTGATTTAATCAGAGCGAAGTGGAAAGGGCAGGTCGGCTAGGCCGTTGGATCAAATAAGGGTTTAAGGGCCTCAATGTGGTAGATAGCCGAAGAGACAGCTGGACATTGTACCGTTAGATTAAAGTCAAATCCAAGGGACAACATTGATGAGGCATTTAATGGATGCGTCGTGCGAGGCAGCACAATTTACGGGGCAATGATTAGCAAGGCTTGAGATTGGATGGGTCCGACAGATCTGACAGGTGGCAGGTTCAAATTTCGAAATTTAAAATGGAGGTTAGAGGGTAAAAGTTGAAAATGCGGGAAAAAATTAAAGAGAGTGGTTGAAAAATAAAAGACGTGGTATCACAACAAAATTGGAGGACGAAAATCTACTCTTGGATCGAGCTATTCAAACTCGACCAAAGTGGGGAGATTGGATGATATGAGATACCATACCTAAGGGAATAAACTGGTCGACTAAGCCGAGCGATCAGTCTAGTCGAGCGGAATCATAGCAGGTCCGATGGTGGTCAAACATCACCGATCCAGGATTAAGAGCCTTCAATCGTGAAGACAGTATAAGGGTTGCAGGATGACAACAACAGGTCGAGCTAGGATCCTCGGTTGGCCTGATTGAAACTCGACCCGTAGGCACGGCTGGTCGACGGATCGACCAGAGGAAGCTATAAGCAGTCATAATCTACCTCAGCAGATTTCGATCTAGTCACGCCACCAGGAGGTCTAATCACAAAGGATCAAAGGAATCTTGTGGTAATTGATACCACACATGGGCACAGACACGTGACACCACCTGATTGGTCCATGCCTCATAACCGTTCTGACATTCTGAACAGAAAGGTTGTACTATCGGGCAGATGGGGCTACCAACTCATCATATCCTGGCAGCCTTCTAGAAGCAGGTACCTCACCCCTATAAATAGGGATGAGATGTGCAATTTTATTGCATGAGGTTCATATACTCTATTTTTCTCTGCAAATAATCTCTTACACATACTCATTTAAGCATCGGAGCCTCTTCACCAAAAAAACCTCTCCGGTGTGAGAGTTTTTTCATGTCGAAGGTATTCAACCGGCGAGGAAGCACGTGAGCAAACCGGTTCCTGTCGATCGAGGGTCTTCACGTACCACTTTGTGTTTTATGAAATTGTCAAACTATATTATTTTAATCATAATAGTTAAGCACTTGTATATAATTTTAGAATCTGGATGCCAAATGATATTTTTTTAACTTTATATGTAAATTTAGAGTTTCGATAATTAATTATTTATTTTTATTAGATTGACAACGTATTAAATTTATGCAAATATCATTTTTAAAAGAATGATATCTCATTATTTCATCTTTGAAATGAATAAAATATGAATATTAGAGAAAAAGTTTGATAAGTAAATTAATATGATTGATTTATTGAAATAATGTAATAAAAAATGAAATAAAAAGAAAGATATTATGATAACAAGAAGAAAAATATAGAATGGAATAAATAATAATTGTTTCAAATATTTGACACGACACCCAAACTTAATAGTTAATATATTATAGAAATAATCATGTCAAATTGACATTTGATACGACACCCGAATTTAATTACATATCAATCTAAAACATATAATTATAACAAATACTATGCCAACATATTCGAAAATGAGAAGTGCTATAGGTACATAGAGATGTGCATAGAGATTTACATAATACTCACATTGAGTGGGACCCACTAAAAATAAAAGATTAAATTGACCTTACTCCATGTGACTGTTATATACATTCATTATGTACACATAGCATTTTTCTTCGAAAATTATATATATATATATATATATATAGTGGAAGTATATGTATATACCACAGTTTATTTTGAAAGCGGTCTTGTCGCAAAGCCTACACGCAGACGCAGTTCTGTTGGTTGGTATGGTTGGTTGAACTCCAAATTCCATACAATAAAAAATAATAAAATGGATTAAATCCTTTTCTCTCTCATCTATTCTAGTGAGAGAAAACAAAATCATCGCTGCAACAATCCGATGGAGAAGGCGATACGTATTGGCAGCATTTTGATTTCGTCTTCATTTGTGAGCATTGCCATAGTGATTCTTATGCTGCTGCTCATCCTAATCCTCGTCCTCATCGCTTGCAAGTTCAAACCATGGCGCCGGTTCCTGTCCCTCCACGCCGCAGCACGCCGCCGCTCGCCGGCCTCGATCAAGGTATCAACTTTGTGAGATTTCGCGATTTGATTTGTTGACTTTTTTTTTTGTTATTTTGTTCTTTATTGTTTAGGTTTAGATGGGGTTTGATGGGTTTTTTTTCCTGTCATGTCATTCTTGGTTTTTATGAGCTGGTGCTTGGACATTGTGGATTATTCAGGACAGTCGCTTGACTTTAGATAAATGTTCCCTGGTATTTAAAGCTGAATTTTCAATTGCTTGTTTGTTGTTTATAATTGCTGGTGGTTATGATTCTTTACCTCGGAGGCCACTTTTTTTAACTCATTTGACTAATTTTGTACAGCTTCTCATTTGTTGCCTTATTTGAAGTTTAGATAGAATAGATAAAATAATATTTTCTGGGGGTTTGTGTAGAGAGAACTCTCAGGTATTTCTTAGAGATATTATTTTGCTGCATAATGTATTACTAAGATACTTCAAACATGTAAACAAAGGTG